TAAGATTGCTACCAATAAATTGGAGATAGAAATTAAAGTAGTGAAAAAACTTAAAATATAAAAGTAGTAAAAAAAATGAAAAAGTGTTGCGTTGAAGTGGTGGATAAAAATTAAAAAAATTAATTTTAACTGGACAAAAATGAAATCATGAACAGTCGTAATCCACGAAGGTGGCGGTGACGATGATGAGGATGGCGACAATGGCGATGACCACAACGAAGATGATGTTGGCGGTGATGACGATAATCCTGAAACCGCAATTAAATGCATCTAACAAATTTTACGAGACAAACAACAAATTTCCTTTTTTTTTTTATCCTTTCTTCTACCTATGTGACAGATTTAATTTTTGAGGGCATTCATTTTTCACGATTCCTCTCTCTTTCTTACTGTCTCTTCTTTCTTTGAACATAATTTTCCGAAAAATAAATAAATAAACTTTATTTAAAGAAACTGGGAAAATCTATCACTCATTCAATCATCTAACTACAAGTAAAAAGTGTCTTCCAGATTTGCGCACGGTACACCAATGATAGACTCACCTACGCCCTGAAGTTCCTAAAAAAAATGGATAAGCAGTCTTTCTGCTTACAATATTCAAATACAGATGTTTAAAGCTTGTTTGGATTTCTGTAAAACAGCTGCTCGGTGAAAATATCAAAAGCTGTCAACTCACTGATCATTGGCCCATAAGTGGTAAACGAGGATATCTTTGGTGAATGTCCAAGTTTGTTGCCGTCATCGTCGTCGTCGTCGTCGTCGTCGTCGTCGTCGTCGTCGTTGTCGTTGTCGTTGTCGTCACCGACGTTGTTTCTTTTCTTATTTGATAACGACCGCGGGGATTCAGAAGTCGCAAGTAGTACAGGGAGGCAGGCAGGCAGGCAGGTAGGCAGGCAATATTTGAGCACTTAGAACGGTATGGGACTGGCGTGTTCTGTTTCGTCGGTGGTATGTCAACGTACAAACGTATGTCCCACGACGATCCGGTCTTGCTCTGGTTGGGCCGTCATTTACAGAACCCAATAATTTTCTTCCATTTCAATCCAAAATCAATCCAGAAGGATGTCGTTAATCCAGACTCTCTTAATATTAGTTATTATGGCGTCTATGACCTACTCTCAGGTATTTTTTTTAATATTCCTGGTTTTTTTTTTCTTGTTTTCCATTTTTCTTAGACTGCTGTAAGTTTAGGCCAAAAATTTTGTTGTCATCTGTTAGGCTGCAGTTGCAAAGGATATTGATAAATTGCCTTCCGTCAGTGCATTTTGTTTTACCCATTAATTAGAAAAAAACAATCTTTTTTTGTATTACTGATTTTGAAATTTTGGATACAGAATCTTTTGCCGCTTAACGATATACCTTATAAATAACAGAGTATTTACCTTTAACTTTTGTTTAATTGTAATAAATAGAAAACAAAATTGACGGCAACGAAGCAGTGGTGGTACAGTTAAGAAGCATTAATATTAGAAATGAGTGTAATTCGATGGAGAAATGGTAGTTCTTCTTTTTCGTTGTAGAATAATGTTAAAACTTCAAAACTGCAGTGATAAGAAACAGCATATCGGGTTTCTTTCTTTTGCTATGTATATAATTGATTCTATGATAACTATTTCATAACTGATGATACATAGCGGTTATTTTAATTCAAAAAGATTCTCTTTTTTTTTGTATTATACTATAATAGTCAATAAAAATAATTTTATAAGCAAATTAAAAATAAGACAAGAAAAAAAAAAAGTAATTTCTGTAGTATTCAGTAAAATATTAATGCCGCGGGTCAATTTCAACAGTTTCATTGTTGCCGTTATCCTTTTGTTGTTAAAAAGTGAAAAGTGACAACAAAAATGGTGTTTCAATTGTTTTGCTAAAATTTGGATCATTATTAAACAATCAAAAAAATTTTTTCGGCCAACAGTGATTGTTAAAAAAAACAAAAGAAATTACATATAC